TTAGGCACAGGCTAAATAACTAAAGTCCAAGAGGACCAGGAAGTGGAAAAACAATAATTGTAAGTAAAATTGAAATATTTAACTGATGATTTCATATCGGTATGCAGAGCTACATGCTGATGTGATTTTTATTGAAAGGGGGTAAAGGTCCACTTTAATAAGTCTGTTAGATGCTTATCTTAAGTTTACATGTACAAGGAGTAAAATAGTATAGCTAATCACATATACTAGTAGAGTATAATTAGAGCTCACTAAGAGTGGTTCCCATTTCTCCATCCAATAACAGTGAGCTTTATAGGACACACTACAAATCAAATATACTCTTCAACTAACTGAAAGCAGAAGGTTAAATCTTACCCCACTCACTGCATCTGCCCCCTTTGCCGATGTGAACACAAAGGGCATCCCCTTTAACAGGCAGGGACAAGTAATAGTTTCCTAATACCATATCTATCATCTAAACTGGTCCAAGAGAAAAGCAAGATGGCAGCAATGCCAGTTTTTCCCCTTTTATTTAATAATGTAAAAGGACATCCATAAACAACTACACAATACTAATGAAGGTAAAGGGAGGCATTTACAATCCAATAGTAACTTACAGCAACCATTTTCTTCACTAATGTTTACAGAAATTGCTGCTAACCATGAACTATTTAACTTAAAATCAACTCACTTGTACAAGATTACTGAACACAAACTCTGCTTCAGTAATTCTCAATAGATCCAATTTTTGCCCATATTGGGTGCCACCATCTTACCTAATGCAGAGCATAGAAGAAGCAAGGCCCGGGTTTTAATCACAGCCTGCATGACACCTCTGCCCATCCTTTGTGAATATCTGCATATATTAGTGCTCAGGAGGAGTGGTTAAAGATGGTAATGTGAATTTGGCCGATGACTTTTGGCAAAAAGTCAAAATTTGCATACCAGCAATAGTGCTGTTTATCTGCTTAGGCTGCATATTTTTTGGAAACAAACACATGTGTCCGAAGCAGCTGATGGTATGGATGAGGAATGTAGGCTGTTATGTACCTGTATGGTGAGTTCAGGTTTTCCTGCAGAGGGCCTAAGGGGGCTATTTTTTCTCAGTTTTGCTGAGCAAAGTGCAAAGGTTTTCTCTAGGCTGCAGGCCTACTAAAAAAAACTTTGCACTGTGCTCAGCAAAACCGAAAACCATGAAGGGTGTGCATCGGGTAATGAACCCTATAAGCACTGGGAGGTGGGGACCACTTTGAGTTGGCTGAACAGAAAGGTGCTGGTCACATCTACAGAGCTGTATATGAAAGCTGCTTGGGTTGGTGCAGAGCACAGAAAGCGTCTAAATACATCTCCAGTGCCTGGTCATGTGATCTGTGATGTCAAATTACTAGGGTGTGGCATTACACGAAGAGTCCTTGCACAGCTTTGTAGAATTGTCGTACTAGAGGACAGTCCAGAATTTGCACTTGTCTATCCTTATTTATCTTTACCACTGTCACTGTGCAATACTATTAAAGGGTCTCACACAAAATGGATATCTCTGTTTTTTGGAAAATGCTGGAGAGTTCTTATATCTCTTGGAGACTCCACTGGTGAGATCTCTGCTTCTTGTTCTGCACATCTGCTGTGGTATTCTCCCTGTAGGACGTTTTTATTTAATATGTTGGAGAATGCAGCGGGAGGTGCTGGAGCACACACAGGTGCGTGAGAACACCCAAAACCCCCATGTGGAGAGGCACACAGTTGGGAATTCTCATGGGGTGGATCTACCTGTAGAGGTTTGTACGACATACACAAAGATAGTGGCCTGTCAGACCCCATCTATAACTAAATATCACTTGTGGGTGGAACAAGCAAGCAGCAGATTCTGCATATGTAATGGGTAAATATATGTTTACATACTAAAAGCAGAAACAAGGTTTTTACATTTAACACACATTGACAAAATTATTTGCATTCAACCAGTCACATTCAACTTGTTTTATTTTGATTTAAACTTTAGATTAAACGTCGGAAAACTATATAAAAGCACATTAGATTCAGATCAAAATATGATGATTGAGGAACTAGCTAAACCAGAGTTAAAGCATTCTAGCATCTGTGCAAAATACAATTTATATTCTGCTGTATACTGCAGTTGTGATATAAACATTGTTAGGGTAAACCCAGACAATATTTTAAAGTACCGTAGCAGAAATGAATTGTTTTACAAACATTGCCTTCATCTTTTGCTGTAAGGCCCGGTTCACACCTGGGCGTTTTGTAGCGCGTTCAAACGCTCTGCAAAACGCTCAAACACCGAAATCCAATTATTTCCTATGGGTATGGTTCACACCTGGGCGTATTACAGGCCGTATGAACGCGCTACAAAACGCCCTACACCCAAAGAAGTATACAGGAGCTACTTTGGCGCGTTTCCATTGGGATACAGCCAAGTAGCCCTCGGAAACGCGCATTTGTCGCGTGTTTCTTTAACCGCGAATTGCGGTAAAAACGTGCGTCACGAAACGCACGACAAACGCGCATATTCGATACGCCTAGGTGTGAACCCAGCCTTAGGCTGCTGCTCTGTTTGTGTAACCTTTCAAAGCAATTGTTGTTGGGTGCAAGCTCTGTAGAGTAGGACTTGAGTGGATTTCAGTTGATGATGTAAGACAAGAGCTTAGTGTGGTTAGTGGTTATACGGTTGTACGTTCTTTATAGGTAGCAGAATTTTAAAATTAAATATGTGCTGTTTTTTAACTCTATATAGTTTTCAATCTTTGAATGCATAGAATTGCTCTGGATTCTGCATGTGCAGTAGGGCTGTTTCACTAATCTTCTACATGGCCATTTTTTGATGTGTAATAGTTGCCTTAGGCCTTATGGCAATAGATACATTTTCATTGTTTTATTATACACTTGTGTCATTAAAGCGGAACTAAACCTCATATCCTCTTAGCCAATGACAGCGCCATCTTAGCCTCTATTAAGATTTGCCTTAGTGCTACTCGCATGGCCAGCTGTGACACCAGCCATTTGAGGGCTTGAAAGATCAGTCGAGGGTTGACATAAGCACACTGACAACTGTGACAGCTAACAATTCAAGAATCATTACTTGAATGTAGCTTTCACTGCCCATGCCCTAGTAGGCAGAATATAAATGAAATCATTGCCATGTTTGAATAAGGATTTAATAACACTGACTGAACATATCTAATTTGAGATTTCTTATGGGAAAAAAAGTTAAAGCTCCAGCCTTACCTTTTTCAAACATTTGTAGCAAGTTCTCTCCTGTCTTGAAACTGACTAATCTCAATTCTCCTTCAATTTATATCTCTGCAATAGAACCATACGAAGCTGCAGCAACTATTTTGGACCCACCTTCATTTCCTGTCTGAATGACTTCTTCTCTGGATCTGTACTGACATTGGTCCACCTATCACTACTATGTCTCTGCTTTCTCTGCCAATCATTTTGATCCTGAGCTTTTTGTGAAAGAACACATTCCCAGCATCCTATTAGACGTGCCTGCAACCAATCAGCTGATCAGCAGTGCTCGCAGCTAAAGTCTGCAACACCGAGTGGCCATCAAGGAGAATCAGGCATGTCTAAAGGGAACCCATGGATGCGTTCTTTCATATAATGCTTTTGAAAAAGATGAGAGGCAGAATGCTGGGATGTTTGCAGCAGCCTGTTCCCTCCCACCAAACTCAGAGAAGAGCTCAGCAGAATGGGATATCATTGTTGACCTTCTTTTAAAATTACTAGTTGTCTGACTGTCTCTGGTTTCAAGCATTGAAGCAACTAGATCAGTAAGAAAGCCAGGCAAGTGGCAGTTTTAAACAGGTATAATGGCAACCACCATTTTATGTAAAGGTTTTCTTTTAAAGAAAATTGATGCAGTTAAAAGATAGCTCCCAGCAAAAATTCACTGCACATAAAGCAACCAATGCTTTCTATTTATGCATGTCTGTAGACACGTCTGTAAAACATACCTCTGGACACTGCAAAAACCGAAACCACAACATTTTCTGTAAGTTTCCAGGAAGATCTACTCCCTAAAAGGATCCATAAATAGGTCTGCCCCACATGGTATGGTTTAGGTTCTCTGCAAGCAGCATGTGTATGGACCGTAGTGTTAATGGCATGAAGTCCTTATTTGTTTTTAACCTTTATCATTTTTAATTCTATGTCTAATATTTGACAAATACACTTAAAAAAATACACATCCCAAAAGTGTAATGGTTGGTAGTTTCCATATTTTAATGCTATATCTCCTGTGGGGACATCATATTATAACATAAATTGGGAAATTATAATGGTGCTAGATCATTTTCTGCAGGTAATAGATATATTTTGGTGTCGGGAGATTGTTTTGATGACAGAAGATACTAATATGTTGTTAGCGGAAGGTATTATGGAGCCAGCAGATACCCTTATGATGTCAGGAAATACTATTAGTGGCTATTGGCTATGGTGAAAGACATACTACTGTAGTGTTTGGAGAGATTATTATGGTGTTTGGTGAAACTGTTATGATGCATAGGGACATACTTATTGTGGCAAAAGATAATATTGGATCTTATTCTAAAGCTAAGAGCGCACTTGTACAGCAGGATACTGTTGCAATGCTCTTGGTGTGCGCTAGCCATGACCCTTTAAACTACACCAATGTTATGACCTTACCAACAAGTTGCCATGTGTTAGCATGCTACCATTTCACCCCAGGGGTTGTGTCCCAAAATGCTGCAGGTCTGTTATGGCCCTTGCAATGCTCCATACATATTAGTAGAGCCTTCATTGATTCAGAGTGCTGATCCTCCGTTTTCCAGTATAAGTACTGCTGTGCAGGAGATTACAGGAGTATGATATCAAAACACATTCAGGTATTTTGCCAGTTCTATGTAAAGTTTATTATTAATATATCTGCATGGAGTTCAACTTTAGGTTAACAGTGTATCCTGCTGCAACAGTCCTCATTTGTACCTGGTTGGCAGTATACTTTGAAGGTGTTTACAACTTGTTGTTCTGATTTATAGGGGGAGATCGGGATCGGATGACTGCAAACCATGAAACATACCTTCTTATGGCCAGCACGCAGAATGACATGGAAGACTGGGTGAAGTCAATCCGCAGAGTCATATGGGCACCATTTGGTGGAGGTAAGAGACACCACTATGGAAACAGTATAATATAAGGCTGTTTTTTTCTTTAAACTGATAATTAAGCACAATATTTTTCCTGTAGTATATCAACTCCTAATTTATAAAAGGATAATAAACATTTGCTAACTCTGGTGTAAATAAAAATATGGCATTGAATTTATTTAAGCTTCGAGGACGAGGATAAGCCAGTTGTCAGACAGGATCTTGGTAAAGTACACAATACATAATTTTTCTGTCTCAGGAGAGACTGAATAATACTTTTAGTCAAAATTACAAAAGAAACTGAAGGTAACACCTTTAATAACTAATTGCAGTTGAAATCATAGCAAGCTTTCAAGATACAAGCCTCTTTGTCAGGCAGATTAGAGATGAGGTGAATTTGAAATGTCAGTTTTAAATCATGCAGTCCTTTTGAAGTGCAAACAAGGAAGAATAGGTAGAAAAAATATGAAACTAGGCAGAACATTTGGATTTCTTTTCTCAGCCTAGGTAGACATCTGGACTGCTTTTTAATTGTAAAAGGTACAGTTTTTGGATGTGAATGTTTAATTAGAGTTCATGTAATAGAGCTAAGTACAGTGTTTAAATATTTATTTGAGGACTGTATGAGCTAGAGGTTTAAAAGGTTTTTGGCTTGTGGTCCTTAGCATCCACTGCAGCAGCAACACAGCAAAGACGAAAACACTGGTAAAAAAATAACCCCAGTGTGTTGATTAAACAATGGAGGAGAGGCAACACACCGGTGAGGTCATCCATATGCTCATTCCTCCAATTAACATGGTCCCTGTCAGCACATGTATGCATTAGAGCCTGATTAGCTCCTAGTGCTCATGAGCTCAGTTTGATGCAGATAATCTTGCCTATAAAACCCTTGTTTCTGAATATAGTTTGCAGTTATATATATACAAAGGCGTAGCCATGTTTGCTCATTAAATATGCTGACTGTGCTTCTAGCTATCACTGTATGTAGTGCTGACAAATAAAGTGATTTTGGCATCCCAAGCAACCCTCCATAGATCAGATATGGATACTTACATTGCGCCAAGCTTGACCAATGTAAATATCCATAAAAGATCATTCCTGATGTTCAGCTTTAATGCAGGCCCACGTGTTGGCCAACTGATTGAAAAGAATGCTTCCTCTATGTGGCTATACTATCTCATCAATTGATAAAGCTGTTAAAGTTAACGTAGTGGCTAATCTACCCTGCATATAGTATGTCAACTATAAATCTCTGCATTTAATACAGGAACAACAAAAAAAGGGAGAACAAGCATGTAAAAAGGTTTATACAACATCAGACGTTATTACGAGGCAAGCGCTGTAATAATAAATCAAGAGCCGTAGTAATAAATCAAGTTAGTCACGCACTACAGGAATACAGTCACATACATTCCATATATATTTCCACAAACAGGGATGCATGATTAGTCTTTTCTCATAGAGATTACCCTGCCCAGAATATTACTGAGCACTTTATACATTTTTAGCAATCTCACACTGTTTTTTTTGTCTGTAGGAAAGATGTGTTGGCACTTGTTTCACTATTTATTCCCACAGGAAAATGTGGCATTCTTTTCTAGTTGAAGTAAGGAACATTTATCGAAAAGGTTTTTTCAGGTCTCCAGGCAGTTTGTACATGAGAAGCAGTTCCTCCATATAGATATCGGAGAACCTGTCATACCTGTATAGTGTTACTTGTAATTTCCCAGATATCTTTATTTTTCTGCTGTTGATTAAATTTGACAACTAGTGGTATCTTCATTGTTTTATTATAATGTGGAAGTTAGGCTCTAGTTGTCCAGACAGCTTTGTGGGTGAAGCTATATATATATATTATTCTGACTCCAATTGTTGTATTAACAATTTATCCCTTGCTGAGACCACTATGCCTGGCCTGTACAAGCAGATATAATCACTGCGGACAATCCTTATCAGATAGCTGAACTCACCAAATACCTTTTCAACCATGAAGAGCTTTATTGTTTGCAGCAGGTTGAAGCAGACAACAGGATACAGCAGATGCATGAATAGACAGTATTTGAAGGTCAAGGATGATAATGTTTCCAAGCCAGCATGTACATGTGGTCCTGCTATAGGCAGCCATGACACTAAACGACTAGCTGGAGAAGAAGGGCAGTACATTACACTCAAGGGGAGGGAATTCAGGAAAACATGGTGCAATAACCAAAATGCCCACAAGATAGCAGTATAATAACCAGCTATACAACTGCCAAAGATAATGGTTTTAAGGAAAATTAACTGTGTGATTCTCATTTCACATTAATATGAATATTAACTGTGGCTATGCACTGTGTCATATTTGTATGCAATTATTGTGACAACACATATACATATGTGGTGCACCGAAATTAAAATTTTGAAACCGAAATGAAAAAAACTGTCGGGCCGAAACTGAAAATGTTTTTTTTTCTAACTTTTTAAAATATTTTATTTTTATTTATTTTTATTAAATATTTGTATTTTTTACTTTACTTTTAGGTG